GGGGGGGAGAGTGGGCTCAAATCGAACCATATTAAGTTTCATCCCACTCGTCACGTCGACGGCGCCGCGGGATCTCTAAGATCAGTACGCAGCGCGCCTGTTCATCGTGCGCGAGTGCGCCAGCACTTTTGGAGTGCCGTAGAGAGCAGCACGCGCCGACCGCGGGGCGGACCGAGCGGTGGGCAGCGCGTCGCGTCGTTCGGCCTGTTTCGTGGTGTCCACTTTCAGTCTCGGGCCGCCCCACTCGGCCGGAGCGCGCGCTGCTGCCCGGTTACAACCCCCTCCTCCGTGTGTGACACCGATACTGCCCGCCGCGCCGCCGGGGCCGGGGGCCGGGGCCGGCCGTGGCAGCCCCACATAAAGCAAAAGCCCTTCCCGCCCGCCGGCCACAGCACAGGCTGGCCCCGCCCGGGGCCCGCAGGGGTCACCGCCGAAGCGACGGCAACCCGAAAGGGATTCGGAATGGAATGGGCCGTTTTGTTTTAAAGGAACGGAACATCCCGGCCATGTGAGCCTCCCCTCCGGCCCCGCCGGCCCCCGCTCCGGCAAATATGCGAAAGACGTACGCGCGCGCCGCAGAGCCCGGCCGACGGTGCGAATTTTATTATGACAGCTGAAACAAATGTCGAGGCGGCTCGGCTGCGGCGGCGCGGCGGGGTCGGTCTGCTGCGGTGGCGGCGGCGGCGCGGCGCAGCCTCGTTCACCGTCCCAAACCCGCGCCAAAACAGATGACTCCACCAGCAAGTGCGACATTTGGGGGCACGGAATGATTGCCCCGAGGGAAGAAAGCGGGGACATTGCCCATCGCGACGGACACGACACGCCGTTTCACTTAACTTCAATAATTCACTTGGCAACCGTAGGCCGTAGGTCTCCATAGACCTGTGGAGTCAACTCTGTGTTCCATGGATGAATGCAAAGAACCTTTATACTTGGCGAACTGTATCACACATTAGTACACAAGTGAATCCCACGCCCGAGGTTAAGTGAAGGTATTGGTTTAATTATAATTGAATATATTCAGTAAAAATAAAGAATTTAGCGCGTGGTTTGTGCAAAACAGATGACGGACGGACGACTACCCTCCTGGACGATTTGTCAACTCTCCAATGGCACAAGTCATTCCCTCCAATCGGGCGCGCATCCACAACGCTCACCTCGTTCTTTTTGTCAGTCACCGCTTGCCTCCAACTTTTTCTTCGGCATACAAACTGTCAAAATCCAGTGCGTAAATTCGTCGGCGTTCACCGGGCGCTCGCTGGGGCAGTATCTTTTCGTTTCTTTTTTTTTCTGCCCCTTCCCTCTCTGTACCAACCCACTCCTCCCCTCCCCCCGCCCTGCTCTCCTCACATGCTGCCGAGTTATCATCAAAATTCAATCGGTATCCGACCATAAACAATGCGCCATGCTTTGGTCTGGATGGTCTTCCCCCGCGGGGCCCTCCTGTCCCGCTCTGCTGCCGGGGCCCCCTGGGGGGGGGGGGGAGGGGGGGCACACCGAGGGGCACGGGGCGCGTGCCGGCCGAGCGCGTCTGTCCCCGAGTGTTTCGTCCAGAGGGGCAGAGTGTATGTGAGAGTATGTGAGTGCGTGTGCGCGAGCGCGCCAACATCGCCCTGAGCAGCACGGCCCATGAGCCGCGCATGACTCATCGGGGAGAGCTAACCAGCCTGCGGAGCGTGTGGTGCAAGGGGAGTATCATCGCTTCGCTCCTCCAGCATCTCGGGCTGCAGAACACTTCCAGTTCTCCAGCACCAGCAGCAGGCATGGCGGCGCGGTGTCTGGCCGGGCTCTGCGCGAAGAGCCCCCCCTCTCTCCCCGCCTGCCCGCTCGCTCCGCCCCTGGCCCAGCCCCTTCCCCACGCCACGGGTCAGCCAGCTCTCCGCTCTCCCCGCTCTCCCCTCCCCGAGCCGCGAGCATTGCCGCGCCGCGCGCTTCTTGTAGATTTACGGGTCTTGTCGAGGCGGTGTGCCCCGCAAGGCCCGGGCCCCGTGGCCCCCGTGGCCCCCTGCAGCGGGCGCAAGTCAATGGGGAGTCCTGGACCAGAGCGACCTGGACCAGGCTGACTGCGGGGAGCCAACGAGACACCACCGCCA